CGTCCCGCGGCTCACAGCCCGGCCGCCGCCCCTTGCTCCAGCCCGCCCGGCTCGGGGCCTTGCTTTGGTTCGTCTTTTTCTCTGGTTGAGCTGTCGAGTGCCCCAGTAGCTGTGCATGCTTATGATTAACTGCATGAAACCCCGTAACAAATAGGTCTCACAGAATAAATGTTTTCTATAGATCGATAATTGTAACTTCTCTTTGTAGCTGTTTTTTAATTTGCTGTTGTCCTGCGTGCAATGTAATTATCATATAAGTTGCTGACAATATCAGTACCATTCTTAATAGCGTATATGCCTGAGTATTTAAGCTTTTTTTTCTAATACTTTGTCTTTCTGCTTTTTTTACCAAGGCTAAGTCTGTTCATGTAATGGATACACAGATCAGGAAAATGGCACAGTTGTTGGACAATGATCAGTTTTTGGAAAAAGTTGGGTGAGGATACTTTTACAAAATCTTGTTGGGACTTCATATGTAGATATGGAGTGAATAAATAGCTCGTATAAACTAGGTACTGTGTTGCTTCAAAACATTTATTGTATATTAAATAGAATGTGTAAAAAAAAAAAAGTCAAAGTATAAAACAGTTTCGACAGAAAAAAATCTTGTAAAGACTTGATGACAATGCAGGAATATTATGAGTAATGAAGTCATCCCATAAAATTCCTTGTCTTGTAGGGTGTCCACAAAATCCAGTTTACAGGCTGACCATCCACCATGGCAAGATTTTACTGTGTCTCATCTAGGACCAGATAATGGATTGCTGGTAAAACATATTAACAAGACACAAGATCTTCTGGTAGGCAAGTTTTCCTGCTAAATGGAACAACTAGAAAAGTAACACATACCCACTATAAATACAGAGTTGGGAATAAATCAGCTCATAGACATTTCATTATTTACATATACACAGCTTCATAGGTGTAATTGCTAAAGTCATGAAACTACATATAACTTCTCTGCAGAGATGAATCAGTCTGTGAACAAATTAAGAGAAACAATAAAGGTAGGTCAACTCTTCATCTGCATTTTTCTTTAGAAAAGTGGAAGACATCTACCACTTCAAACTCTGTAAAGTGAGATTTGGAGACAGTTTTTCTTCATGTTAAATCACAGGGGTATTACTTTTATATCTTTTACTATACTGTCCTATTTCTTGACTTCCTTCCTGTCTCCCCCAAACTAAGCTCTCCTTCACCTTCCCTTAGCTCACAATCTCAGGGTATTCTGAAACTTCCTTTTTCTTTGCACCCCACATCCAAGAGAGTATGACAGTACCTAAAATCATATTGCTCCTGCATATGAACTTCCTGCTATTAGCTATCCTTAGGAATTAACAATTTTGTCACATTTGAACAGAACATTTCATTTCTCATACTGGATTTATTTTTTCTTATTTGATCTATAGAGAGTAAAAATGAAGAAAATCCAGTCTAAAAAGGTGCAAACCACAGAGGAGTGGCTAAACAGCTATGGTTTAGAATCCTTGCAATTAACATTGGAGCATCTGATAAATGAAGGCAATATTATTTTGTGAGTGCTGCACTGTCTTTTCTTTTTCTTGTTCTAATTTGTGTGCCCCTCTGATGCTAATTATGCATAGCATTCCAGGAATTCAAGAAATGGTGTTGAAGAGATAGAGTTTGCGGAAGAGACTGTCATGAATTTTGAGTCCAGACTTTCTGAGTAAGTATCCATCTTGTTTATGATTTTGATGCATTACTTATTCTATATCCCTGTCCCCTGTGATGGCAGGTACTTCCTTAAATCTTAATGTGTTTTCTCTGGGACTTTCCAAGTATTTCAGTGTTAAATCCTTTCTGCTGAGATTTAGGGTAGATGATAAATATAAGTCAGCTGAGGGTTTTTGGTTTTTTGTTTTCTTTTTTTTAATGAAAATGTCTATCAACCAGCTTTTGAACTGCAGCAGTTAGCTCATTTTAGAAAGGCAGCTAGTGAACAGTTGGCTTTTCAGAGGTAGTACTGCCTGTTTGTGGGTTATGTTTACTATAACTTGGACTAGTTTGAAGTCATGGATCTAGTCATGATGGGTGGACATTAAAAGTTTTCTAAATGAATTTTAAATGTATAAAAGCAAGGAAACTTAAATTTAGGAAAACATTTAATGAATAAGTTCAATAAGCTGTAATCATAATGTTTTTGCTGGTCTTTACAATATGTGATAGACTGTTCCTAGGAGTGCCACTAGTTCAGTATACCTCGCTGTGTCAGTCATGAAGGTCCAGAACCTTCAGAAAGTCATCCTTCAGTGCTCAGGCCCTGTGCCATCTAAACAAACCATCTGCAAATCTGGATTAAAAAAAAGAAGTAGCTTTTGTGTTTTAAAAAAGCAAAAAGCTTTTCCCCCTTTGAAATGTTGATTTGAACTTTCTGTTCGCCAAACTGTGAAAACTATGCACATGATCTTAAAAATAAGCTGAAGTAAAACAGTTTTGGAGGACTTCAAAGCACTTTGTTTTACTTCAGATTACACTCATTTTCAAAGGTACTGCAGGTAGTCTGGCACTTCAGTGAGTGTGCTGCCTTTCAATCACAAGGTTCTATTTCATGAGTGTCTTAAGTAATAGTGCAGTTTGTATTAAATACATCTCCTGACACTAACTCTGTGTAATGAACTAAACTCACTTCTGCTGGAGCTTCTGTTGTTCACACATACACATGGTGAATACCTCTGTCCCATCTGAACAGAATAAACCAGCGACTGATTAGAAAACATTTCAGTGATACAGTTTTTCAGACAGCTACACATCTAATTAGCCAAGCTGCTTTAGGGGAAGAAGTATTTAAATGGTTAGCCTTGCAGCCACCTGCTGTATGAGAACACTGAAATCAGTATTTTGAAAAGGTGATTTTGCACCTGTGAGAAAAGGGATGTGATGAAGGCAAATGGTTGAGTGTTACACTGATACATGGTGTGAGAGAATGGCTCAGCTAAATGTGTGCTCTGCCTTTTGTCAGAGTGGTTCAGCTTTATCAGCAGCGAGTTCAGTGGCTTTTGCAGGACAGCAGAAAGGTAACTTTTAACTTTGCAGTATATTTTTAGAATAGAACTGTATATGACATTAAAGAACAAACTAACTTTTGAATACTAATGAAAGGTGGCTTCCAGAAAGCTTATGGATTTTTGTTATTTACTGTGAGTTACACATCATGTTCAGATAATATCCTTGATCAATGGGTGGTTTTTCTTGTTCTTTCATGGGTATGCAATTTTCTGCTTTCTAGATCTGCTCCTTGTCTTTCCCTTAGCAGTCTTAATCATCAGGCCCTCTCAGCTCAGTTTAAACGGGAGCAGACAATGCTGAGTTTAACCAGTCTGACTGGAGTGGAGCTGCCTTTAGTCCCTCGTGCCCTCTCTTGCCCAGCTGGTCCCTCACGTGCCGTGCCTGACAGTGCTGATGTTCGGGAGTGAGAAAGGGACTTAACTCCCTCTCAAAGGGGATAGAGAAAGAAGCAGCATTCCAAAACCTGGCTTCCACTGAGTTGCTTGATTTAACCTGAAGGGGATGCTCTAGACAGTTATTTTCTACCCTCTCAAATAGTGAATAGGTTGTCTCGGGAAGGAGCGAATATGACTCACTGGTAAGGAACAACTGGGAGCCAGTAGTTCTCTTTTTTTCTTTTTTCTTGACTGCCACTATTTCATCTTTATGCTAAAAAGCTTAAAGTGAGGATAAATAATATTTGATTTAAAAACTGTGTTGTACAGAATAAACAGTAAGAAAGAGTTTTAACGTTTAGATAAACTTAGTATTTACAATGACTTCTTTAAGGTGTTTGGCCTTGTAGAAGGAAGCAATGTTGGACTTGTGGTTGATGTATCTAATGTGAGTTATGGACCTCAACTACTAGATTTTCAGAAGGACCTTTTGGTAAGTGTAGTAAAGCAGACTTTGGCAATTACAGTGTACTAATCAAGCTTTTGTTTAACTATAAGCCAGGAACTAAGCAGAAAAAAATGTGCCAGAAAAAATTCATAACGTACCATACAATAGAATTTTTCTGGTGTAGAAAAGTATGTTTTAAATGTCTTTGAAAGTGTAGTCAGTTAATGTCTTGATCTAAAAAACCTTCAGTGTGTACCATAATAACAACTTTCATATTCATATTTTGAAGTTTCTCAATTTTTGTACCAGCGTTCTTTAAGGAATAAATCTGCCTAACAGAAACAGCTCTAAGAACTAGAACCAAATTCTACATAGAGGTATTTATAGCAAATGTAGTTTCCTTATGCCTTCATATTTTGTCAGAACAAAGCACACCTCATAATTTTGGTCAGAGCCTTGGTGAGTTAATCCCATCCTGAAGTCCCGAAAGAAACTTGTCCCTTATTGTGCTTTTTGTTTTTATAGAACCTTTGTAGTAAAGAAGGAAGATATGTGTCTGTTTTAATGTCTGACTGTATGTTTTCATTTCCTGCATTCAGGTATTATTTAAATTTTATTTCTATTATCTGCATTTTTCATTTTTTCACTGTAAATAAAGCTACTTCAAGAAATTTGAGTCCCACATAGTCTGGTTGGCTCAGCCTTAATACCTGAACTATTGTTTAGCCCTATCCATGAATATATTTTAAACATTTTTTACTAATTGCTTGGTATGGCTACATAAGTGTGTTATTTCATGCACTTGTCAACTGAAGAGAAAAATTGATACCAATACAACAGATACTCCCTGCTTCCTGCCCCATTAGCAAATTGGCTGGATTATCACAGGTTTGCAGGCTTTTTCTCTCTTCTACTTACCAAATATTTGAATCTGTATGACTTTTTCTTGGAAGCTTTTCTCTGTGGTAGCTGAAAATATTACTGTAAACTATATTTATTCTTTTACATAATAACCTTACTAGAAGCAGCATGGATAGTAATGTATTAACAATTTTTTATTTATTAGCGCTTAATAGATGAACAGCTATGTTATAAGAAGCAATTGTACTGCCTCTCATTCAGTACAGAAATTTCACCTCTGTGGGAAAGTCCAAAAAACATCAATATTCATGTGTAAGTTAATTTCTCTGAAAAATATAGATGTTTCATATGAGATCTCCATTTAATTAGAGCAATCTCTTGTGTTTTTTAATCTTGTGCCTGCAGTCATTTGTAAGAGGAGAAAAAAAGCAATGAATTTGAAGTGCAGTTAGTGATTTCAGGCTGGTTGTTCACACAAAAATATCTTAGCTTCTGTGGTTTGTAGTCCTCTTTGTGATCTATCATTTCTTGTTTAGCACCTGCATGTTAAGTGTACATATCTTTTTTTTTTTCCCCTAGGCTACATGAAGCAAGACAGTGGATACAGCAGCTGGAGCCTGGTCAAGGCTGCAATTTGCTGAAAGCCTTGAAACACGTCCTTACAATGAAAGAACTGAATTCTCTGCTTCTTGTTGTGGGAAGCTGGTAAATTAATTATCCAACTTAACATCCAGCTTTAACCTGGATACAGAATTGGTACAAGAATATGAACTTGATATGAAAATAAATAGAAAATTCAAGATCCAGGTTTTATGTATTTTTTGTTCATACCACTAAATTTCTTTATTACTTTTTTTTACTGTTTATAAATCTATTTTCTGATATGAAGCTATGTTTTTCCTTTGCAGATCAGTTACCACAGTAAGCCATTGAAAGTCTGCTAGCTCTAATGTTACTTTAATAAAAATCTTTCAGCATCATTAAGGATGTCACTGAACATGGTCCACACCTCTAGGAGGGTGATGAGCTAACTGTTGCTGTAACATAGCGTTAAGAAGTCAAAGATAGTCTTCTGTCTGTGATATTGGTGCAGACAGAAAACCTAAAATGTCTGATTAAATGAAACCAGGCTGAGATTAGATAATGGATTATGGACAAATTCTGCAGTTCTACTGACATAGTTTGAAAACTTGCAGTACTGGGGTCAGGATTACAAGAAAAAAGACTAGAGTAAGGATGCTGGGACTGTTACCATATGTCTAATTTATTCGTTGTATTTATTTTAAATGTGCAAAAAAGGGATGGTGTAAACTTGGTAAGATGGATATTTAGAATGATTGAGATTACATTTCAGCTAATTTACTGAACACACTGTTCAGGTAAAAGGTTTCAAATTTGCTTGAGTCTGCTTTGAATAGAAAGCAAAAGTTTTTTGTATGTGCAGATGAGAACTTGTTTAATATCTGTCTCACAGAAGTGTAGCTGGCAGGAGAGGCTTTAACCAGCTGTGAGGAACCACCAGAAGTCAGGAAGTGAAAGCCGTGTGGGTCGCTGGGTTCTAAGCACAAAGGTCCTTTCTTTGGTGCCTTTGGAGGACAGTGGGTGTCATTGCATACAGCTGAAGATATGACTTGAAAACTTTTTTATCACAGTTCATCGTAGGGAGATAAAGACACGATTCTTGATTTTTAGCTTTCAGGGCTAGTAAAGGGTAATTTAGAACATTTAATCTACAGGCTGTTATGAACTGGAATAGAATCTTAGTGCTTTTATTGTCATTCAGGTTTTCAGGACAGAACCAAACCCCCATAGTGGTACCACAGTAGCTGTTTGAAAGAGGTAGAGAAGATCAAGTTATGCTAAATGACTGGATTACATTCCCATGATTTGTTATTTCTTTCCCACTTAATTTTCTTTCCTGTCTTCAGTATGGCTTTTTTCCCCATTTACTTACTGACATTGTTGATATACTTTTTTTCCTTATTTTTTTATTCATATCAGCCCTGACCAGTCTTTGGAAATAATATCTGACTATGCTCAGCAGTGTATGCTGGGAAGAAAACTGCAGATCCACGCTGTTACATATGATTGCAGCAATCCTGCTTCTCTTGTAAGTAGATGTGTTAACGCTTACTTCCTTAAATGTCCTGTCATTTTTTTCCTATTCAGCTCCTATGTCTTCTTCATAGACATGTGGGGGGCAGGCTAATTTACTCATTAAAGTTCTTGATCTAGAGTCATGTTTTCTTTAGAGCACATTTGCACACATTAAGAGGAATATTCCAGACAAACTTTTTGTTTCATACCCAAGCCAGAAATGGCAATCAAGTGGTGTTGACAGGCTTGGCAGCTGAAGGGAAGCAATTATTTGCAGATAATAAGAGCATTTTTGCAGGCGAAAAACAGGGGACTTGAGGTATTGCAGTAAGGACAAGTGGCTAGGGAAAGGGGTCGTAGGAGGAAGGCAGGGACTTCGTGTGAGTGTGGCAGTCCCTGGAACAGAAATATTTGTATGGAATAGCATCAGTGCAAGACCTAGCAGCCTTGCTCAAATTAGTGTTGATCATGAGCTGTGGTTTGGATCTTAGCAGCGACTGCCTGAAGGAAGAGGAGAACAGAAGGACAAGCAGTTGCTTTTGATTAGCTTCTGCATAGAACCTTGGTTTTGGGTGTTGATTGCTTGTTTAAGCTTATCCCTAAGGCATGTAGTGACTTAAGCAGCAGGGAGGACATGGTTGAAGTCCTGGTCTGAAGAGAGGACTGGATGCAGTGAGGGTATTGTAGCTGTGGGGAAAAGGATTGCCATGGTAGATGGTAGGAGAGAAGGAGATGGGAAAGATGAAAAAAGCAGCAAAGAATTTCAGGGGTAATTGTGGGCAGGAGAAGGCTAGCCTAACATTTGTACTTGTAGACCTCAGTGATCCTGCTTTGATCTGACTAGCACAAGCCTGCCTTCAAAGGAGGAGAAAGCGATGGGCATTTTAACAAAAGGTGAATGAACTTGGCCCTTAGTGCCTATTTTGTAAATTTCTTTACTGAATTTTTCAGCCATATTAAAATGAGACTGGTAATGAGACAATGGAAACATAATTACTTTGGCTTTCTCTCACTACAAATACCTCAAAGATTCTTTTTCTATGTCTAATTGAGAATTGAATACCAACAACCCATATTATCTAAAGAGACTACCAAATCAAAGTAACTATTTTTCTTCCTATTTATATATGTAGGTACTTCTAAAGAACCTTGCAGAAGCTGTAAGAGGCCACTATCATTTCTACTCTTCAAAGGGAGAGGTAGGTGATAGTGAAGCAACACATTTTTCTCTCTTTTTGATGATTCTTAAGTTTTAGAAGGTTAATTCATTATTATATGAGTGGAGGTTTCTAGTAAGACCTGGTGCTGAAAGTCTCTGTCATAGAAGTGCTGAAGATGTGGTCAATAAACTGGTGGTTAATTTTTTCTGCAACTAAAAATGCTTTTCTAAAAGCGCAGTACGTTTTGCTGACTTAAAGCTGGTTAATAGAATGGAAGCAGCAGCTTACTGTGGACTTATTCAAAATAATAAATCAATATCTTGTTTATAAAATGATTAATAACTTATATGCAGTGAGTTAGATATATTTACACTCAGTTCTCCTTTACCAGGTAGTTGTCTAGATGCATGCACATGAAAGTAACAAAGCTGTGTTTGGTTGATGTGTAAATAGTAGTTAACTTACTTTTCCCCCTTTGTTTTTATATGTACAGAATTTAGATAGCAGTGATATTCATCTGCTACTTCAGGAATCCCAGAAGGCTAACGACCTACTCAAAAGCCTCAAACAGAGTTTTCAAAGAAGAATTCATGGCTCACTGATTAGTAAAATAGCAGATGTATGTATTTTTATTTTCAAATGTACTTTGAAATATGAGGGGTGGAAGTTTAGTGTTCACAACATGAAAAAAAAGGTTAATTATGTATTTGGCAAGTGAACTTTGAATATTATGTATTGGACCTCCACTGTAAGGCCAAAACCAGTAAAGGAGAAATTTTGCTAAACGTACTCCAAAATGCAGGAAATTTTATAAACCAACCAAAATGCAATGAAAAGGACATTGTGCCAGGATCATAATGGAAACTAAGAGAACCACTAGCCTAACTGTGCACATGAAGTTCCAACAGTCCCTTAAGTAAAAAGATACTTACTCCGACCTGTTTTGCTTATGTTGTTTGATGCTTAAATCAGTTACAACATCGCAAGGGCTTCTCTAGATCAGTTACTGGTGTTGAAGTTAGGAAACTACAGTCTGTCTGTTACACATCTGTCTCTGTGCTGGTCCTATCTTTTTTGTACCAGTTCTTCTGTTACAATTGTCTTGGTAATGTTTCTATTTTTATGCCTTGTTTGACCAACATACCAGAGGTTCTTACCTAGTTTGTCTTTTCTCCAATGAAGTAAATCCTAAGTGCTCTGGAAAAAAATGTGGCTGGGGAACAAAAATATCTCCTGTGATTTTTCTTTTTTCTATAAAATGTTTGTGTAATTTCTATTTCTGCTTTGATCTTGTAGAGAAGTTATTTATTCATGTGTTCCTTTCACCTTCTGCAGGTAGTCTTAAGTGGAAATATGCATTTCTCTTCCCTTATTCTTATCTCTGCACTTTCTAGGGCTCTGGAAGTTTAGAAACTCGCTGAATTTACCTATGATTGCTAACCTTTAATGCTAAAAATTTGGCAGCGCTGTTTTACAAGTGTGAGCAATTGTTTTGTTAGTAAAGTAGTCTGTTCTTAGTCACAGCTACTGTAGGCAGTTGTGTGAGGTGAACAAATCTGGTCTGAAAAAGGGACTGAAAGCTTCCATTGGTTATCCTTGTGTATCTGTTTATCTGACCTGAGACATTCAGACAGGAGGCACACTGGTCTATTGTAACTAATTCTAATTCTGTTAATTCTCCCTGTTTTGTGATATATATAGTATTCTTTGATCTCTCTTCCAGCCTCATAATTACTAAGGACCATGTAGAGTACATATGGAGCAGGAGTCACCCTGAAAGGACTTAGAGGGCCCTATATTCCCAAATAAAAAGATGTAAATTCATGAATTTAGTAGTCACATCTCCTGTGTGAAAAAAAAAAAAAAAAAAACCAGCTCCACAAACTTTTGTCCATTCATAAAACAGTTTTCTTACCCCTTTTTGAAATAAACTGATTCTAGTGCCCCATAGGAGTTTTTGATTGTTTCCATTGGTGTGAATGAAGGTAGAATGTGGCTCGTTTGAGTCAGTGCAGGCAGAAAATAGAGCAGTTGAGATTTTATGTGTGTAACAAAGATCCTTTTCCCCCTTACTTTCCTTAGAGAAATTATTGGCTCTTTTCATGTCAGTATGTATAACCATGATTTAATTTCCATACGTGTTTTTGCATTGTGTCAAACACAGTGAAGTTAATGGAACATTATCCCAAAAATCCCATTTTTAGGTGGACCAGTGATAACTATTTTCAAAGTATTTTACTTGCTGAAATCCCACCACTTCAGTGAACATAAGTAAAACTAATATTCCATGCTATGTTTTGGATTAAGGGTAAAAAAAAAAAAAAAATAGTTAGAACTTGGAAGAGTTTTTCTTAAATCTGTTCTAGGTTTCCACAGAACCTGTGAATACAGCTCCTTCCAGCTTCTTGCCAAAACCTCCAAAGCATGAAGGACCATTAGTTATTCGAACACCATGTGGCCAGGCCAAAGCCTCAAGAGACTGGTTAAAGACAAATGGATTGAAAGGTAGCACAGAGAGAAAAGCTTAACAGGTATGAAACATGAACTAAAGATACAGCATGTGTTTTATTTAATTTCTGTGTTCCTTCCTATAGCTAAAAAGTTAAACCTTTATCAAGTTTTGGCTCCCAGTGCCTTCTCTCCTGTGGAAGAATTTGTACCTATTCTTAAAAAAACAGTATCATCAAGTTTGCATGAGGTAAGTGATAAGGATGCTTTCTTTTTCTTTCTGTTGCTACCTTTTTCTAATTAAAATCAATATTTAATGAAATTCTACAGGCTTTAACTGAAATTTGAGTTGTAGATTTCAACCAGGTATTTATGCCATTCTTAAGAATGATTGAAGAAGGAATTCCATGTTAGTGGAGCCTTATATAGGCTTCTGTAAACACATTAACTGTATTATTTATAATTCTAGAAAGCAATGATCCAATTTGAATGGTATGATGGAACTGTGAAAAATATCCATGTTGATCTGCCAGTGTTGTGCAACTATCAGGTGAGTTGTCCATAGTAATGTGGACTTGTCAGGGCTGGATTGCCATCTAATTATTCCATGTTAATTGTGCTGGCTAGACCAGGAAAGACTCAAGGCATAGCAGAAACATTCTAGGAAGTAGTGCAGGAGCAAGCTTGGGTGGTTGCTGCATGACTTGAAAGATGTGGTGTGATATGGAAGTGTGGGCAAAGGAACATAACACAGCAGCCAGACCAGAGCTGCCTCTTGTCCTAGCAACCTAGTCCCACAGATGTATAGGAAGGACAGGAAAGGTTGCTACTAGAGTTTTCTCCTCAAGCTTGCAGATGACTTAAGAACATTAAAAGATTAGGGATGTTAGGATTTCAGGGTGTGTGCCATGGTAATATTGCTATATAGATAAACTTAAAACTACTGGCATACCAGGAGAGCATTTACATGTACTATTGAGGATCTTTGAGGACTTCATTTGCTCTTTTAAGTGTGGAAGAAGAGAAGATACCTACATACACTTGTAACATAATGAAGGCTAACTGGAATTCTTAACAGGCTGTAGTGATTCTTGAGGATTTGCTCCTTGGTCAGAATGCATATCATTAGAGAGCAGGACAGGTTTAATGAAATAGAAGCTGCTTGGAGATATTTGCAACCAGGATGTGTTAGAGGGTGGTCTGTTTGTTCTTTTGTCTTTTTTGTACCACTCCACTAGCTGTCCTGACAAAGGGCTATGGAAATGTTTCCAGGCAGGGCAAATATTTCTTTAAAATCGAGGAGGGATGAGAAATAGTAGACCTCTATAGTTAGACTACAAAGGAGAGTGTAAAGTTTAACTGACAGACATGAAAGCATGGGTTTCTGTCTCCTTGATCCCTGGTAGATGTTTGTGTTTTGTGCTCCAAAAGCATGCTGTCTCACAGCTTTATTTCTAAGTTCAGTGTCCTTTTCTGACTTGATTTGTCCTCATACAGACAATGCCTACAAATATGCATTGAATATGGATATGTTTGCAAAGGTCATGTTCTATAGAGTTTGGACAAATTGCTGTAATGACTTCAAATTGATACCGTGTTCAAGAATGATATGTGTTTGAAAATACTGTGTTTATTTTAAATTACGTGTTTTGTTATGAACACTCCCTAAAATTGCTAGTGAAGAAATGGTAAGCTTGCAAAAAACTGTGTTTTGAAACATTTTCTTTTTTTAATGTACTTTGGCACTGTTTTAGGACATGCTAGCAAGAGGAAATGTGAAGAGGAGAGTTATAGATCCTTTGTTGGGTTTTTATCGTTTTTTTCTCATTTTTTCTCATGAACTCTATAATTAAGTGCTGCTGTCAAAATGAATGAAAATCATTAGCTTTTTTTATTACTATGCTATCATGCTAATTCTGTGTGAAGCATTTGGCAATGAAAGACTTAGTTGAAGTTTTTATTTTTAACTTAGATTTTCCATATTTTATCTATAGAAACTCCTTGCTAAAATGGTAAGAGTCTATGAGAAGCGAATTGCCTGGCTGTCTGTTGCTAGCAGAAGAATATGGGGAAGTGTTTGTGAAAGGAGGTATTGTACTTTGATAGAGACCTTTTTTAGTGTATTGGTAATGGTTCTAGTCTGCCAACCTTTGATTCATGTGTAAGTCAGCACCAAGGAATACAGGGCAGAAAGTAGATGCAGAGACATCAGTTTGGGTATAACCAGTGTAAGCAGTCCAGTTTTGAAAACAGGTATTAATATTCAGCTTTTTTAATGATCCTGAGAATTTCCTGAATCCAGTGATCATCAGTCAACACAAAACTGGAGTTTCTGTGTCACAGGATGAAACTCTTCAGTTGGAATGATCTAGCATGCAAGCCTTTGGAGAATGTCCTATCTTACATCACACGTAAACAGAACCTGATGTTTCTGCCCAGAGGTAGTGTTTACAGCCAGCTTTCCAAGCCAGTGCTGTTAGTATTTATGCCTAGAGTTTTTTTTGCACAGCCTCTAATGGGTTTTTACCAGAAGATGAGATTAAACCTACCAGCTGCCTTCTGCCTCCATCACTTGTTGAACTGTTTTGTAATGACAAATGACAAATGTCAGTGTAGATATACTCAAAAACCTTAAGATTTGTTTTTCCTGCATGAGGTTTGAGAGCTTCATCTGATTATGTCTTTGAGCATGATGTTTTTTACATTGTGAAGACTTGCCCAACCTCAATTGCACAATTGCTCTTTTTGTCCTGTTTGCAAACTTTCAGGTATGAAATTTCAGACAAAAGAAACACGAGGCCACTGTAATAGAGATTTTTCTTGTTACTTGATCAGGGATTGAATTAGCCCATCTGGCCACTGTATTGTGTCAGGAATTCACATCTCACCATCCATCACATCTGTGATTCTTTTCATAACCACTGCTCCCAAGATGTCCCCAGTCAATTAACTGTAACCATCGTGCATTGTCTCTACAAGCAAGGCTTCATACTTACTGTGCTGAAGAAGTGAATCAGTAACACTTTTTCTCAAAATGGGTAGCAGGGTAACATCACTCAGTCCACAGCTGAGCAACCAGTCTGGCACTGACTTGCTGAGAGAACACACACCATTTGTCTTTGGAGTAATACTACCTATGTTTCTGGAATGCTGGCTGGGGAAAGGACAATGAACTATCCAACAACTTTTCTCATTGGATAACATTCATACGTTTCAGGCGTGTTTTGGGTATTCAAGACCAAGGAAGAAAGAGAATTTGTTTAGGGCTGAGTGACCATTATGGCACTACAAGTGCCAGTACCCTGATTATTGCATAGCTTAATTAAGATAGCATTTTCTGTTATTGTCACTTTTTTTTTTAAATCTCACATTTACTTCACCAAGTACCATGAAGATAATAACAAAAAATTTTAAATTATTGTTTAAGAATATATTAATAACTTTTTTCTTGTATAGGGTGGTTATACTTGTTGATATATCCTTGACAAACTCTATGTACATCATTCATATCCAACATTATTTGAGACTATTACTTGAGGAACAAATGTCAGATAAGGATTACTTCAATATTATAGCGTAAGTGACTATTTAAGATTCTTTTAAAATATTTGTAATGCATTGCAATGAAGGAAGTATACTGAGCAATTACAGTTACTAATGGACATATTTTAGGGGTTTTTGTTGTATTTAAAGTTTTACGATTAAGTAATTGCAAGAGCAATGCTGGTTTGTTGTTGTTGGGTAAGTCCATGGATCAGATGTATGGAAACCAAATAAGTAATTAAAAATCACTGTTTTGGGTGAGGCTTACTGGAACTGATTGCATCATACCTGTAACAAATTCTCATCCTGCTATGTTTTTCTTAACAGCAGTAACTCTTATGTAAAACTTTTACTGGGAAAAGATTATGGTGTCTCAAGTACAGTAACTGAGAACACCCTTCAAATTTTGCAGTAACTCCAGTACTTTTTTTAGTATGTAAAAGTACTAAAATTCCGTGCTTGACACTGTTAGTCAGAAACATGTGGCACAGCTCCTGAATAGCACCTGAGCAGGTTTCTGTCTGGCAGGTAAAAGCAAGAGACAGCAGCTCATGGAGTTCCAAAACTGGGGAGAGAGCAGGGTTCGTACCTCACAAGAGACACAAGCAGCATATGAGAGTTGGGGTGTTTTTTGTTGCAGTCCTGCTGAGCTTTTACCAGCTCACTTAGTATCCTGTTCAGGGAAGAAAAGTGTAGTCTGGTCTACTATGTTGAAAATACTACAACTCCCAAGTGATGGATAAATGTGAATAATGAAATGGTTTGCAATAGAAAATTGTTGTGTCAGACAATTTTATGTCTGCAGTACCACAAATGAGATTTTTCTTTTTCAGTTAATTTATTCTTTTTGTTTGTTCTAAAGTCTAATCTGAATATTAATTGCTGTTATCTTTCCGTGAAAGATTTGGGAGTGATATTGTGCCTTGGCAGCTGGAACTGGTTCCTTCCCAACCAGAAAACTTAGAAAATGCTTGGAGGTAGGATCAAATAACTTTCCCACACATCTGAATTAAGTAAAATGGACATGTTTATCATATTACAAACATAGTTTGCTAGGAACTGATCTACACTGATTGCTCATGATACTTTATTGTGAAAACAGCATTATAAACTCCTATATGTCCTAGGGACTTTATCTTTCATATGTATACAGAATATGTGTGCACAGATATAAAAGTGTCCATGTAAGAAATGCACAGGCTACAGGAAGAATTGAAAACTGTTTCAAATTTAACTGGGATGTGACAACTAAAATATGGAAGTTTTCCTCACATACACTGCAAACAAATCCCAGGGTTCTGTTTGTGGAGTTGCACTCTCAGTTGTTTAATTATACCTCTGTGGTTTCATTTTTATTCCTGTAAGTTCTTCTGTATTGCAGTTTTTCTTCATAAGAAAGAATTCTTTCATCTCTGTGTTCTGAATTTTGTCTTAAAAACTAGTTTGTCATGGTGGCAGTACAGAAACTAGAATAAATCATTTGGGTTACTATCGAATCTGTTTTTTCTGTCTGTCACAGTCAAAAATTTTAGGCTCCAGTGTACTCTTATTTAAGATTTTTAGTTCTCCTTATTGTTTTAAGCAGAACCAGAAGCTTTTATTGCTTCATTCTTTGAACTATAAATGTCTTCTTTTAGGTGGATGTTGAAGTTGCAGTGCGAAGGGAGTAGAAATTTCCTGAGTGCTTTCAGGAGAGCTGTGGAAGTAGACTTCAAAGACAAAGACAAACACAAATCACAAGGAATTTACCTGCTGACTATGGGGATACCTGACCAGGAAACAGTAAGTATCATCACAGGTTTTGCACCTATTATGTAAGTTCCTGTCAGAATTAATCTCAATTTTTTTTTTTTTTTTGGGTCCTTCTGACTAGTCACCATGCCTTGATGGCAGAATACTTCTTTACATATCTAAATTAGCACAACTGTTAGAGCTTCCATTTCTGCAATTGCTATTTATGTGTTGGAGGTAACATTTATTAGTAATGTGTGAGTCATAGAAAATTCAAGAGACATTTTTATTATTCCTTTCCCACTCCAGCTCTGGCAATCATTTCACTACAAATTTTTTAGTTTGAGCAAACCAGCTCCAATTTTTCATATGATAAAATTTCCTTATAACTCACAGGAGTGAAGGCACAAAAAAAATTTATAGTGGAACTCCATAGTATGCTATTATAGCTCCTATTTTTACTAACAGGAATCCATTGCTTGGATATATGTTTGTGTTCTGTGGCTGTTAAGTCACTTGCACAGTGTAGAGTTTCTGAACACACAGTAACCCAACTGGAATAACCATGCATGTACAGTAGAATGTCACTTGCTTGTGTTACCAAACTTCTGGAAATTCTGGGAAAACCTAAGAAATCAGTAAAAGCCCATGTGGATAACAAGAGATGAAGGATGCAAACAAAAAGGAAAACGAGTAGTTAGTTGCATCCCTACTTCTTTGCTTCAGGACATGGCTACCCTGAAATGCATGACCTGTGTCTGATTCCTACAGCTGCCTCATCTCACTTCTTGGCTGCAGCAGTGCTGTTGTCGCTAGTAATAGCCAGAGGTTTTGTGTATATGCACAAAGGGAGGAGACATTCAGCTACCCAGGGTATGTTCCTGTACTGAATTGCTCAGCTTGGGAGTGTTTGTATATCAATTCAGGAACCAGTGGAGTAGATGGAAACTCATCTGAGGTAGAGGGTCACTATTGTTTGTTTTTTATTTTTTCTTTTTCTTCCTTTTTCTTCTCTATTTTGCAGCACACAGTCAGTGCTTATGTGGCTGAGGCTTGCAGAGGTTTTGATTTGCAGCTTCATGTCTGTCTGTTCAGTGTAGTGCAGGACATTGGCTCCAAGAGGATTCTGCCAGCCCGCTATGCTAACCCAGCTGAAACTGCCAGTGCTTTTAAAGAAATAGTGCAGGCAGCCAATGGGAGATTTCATTGGTTTGGAGAAGCAGGTATGTGAAAAGGAAAGTCGCTCTTACTTCTTTTTCATTAATTAAATAATATTTATTAATGCTTCCTCCTCCATCAAGTAGTTTCCTTTTTTAGTATGTGATAATGCTGTATTAGCACTGAGATATAAGTAGAGGTCCAAGTGTGATTGAGGCTTCCAGTTGTATTGCAGAATATTTTAATGGTGCCTTAATGCAGGGATTATTTTTTTGTTTTCTACTTGGATTCACTGGTTTCTGCTAGATATTTTAAAGATGTGCATTTAAAATATAGTTACTAATGTGGTAGGTCCAGACTGTCTGGCTTACAGGAAACAAAGGCATTTTGGTTCTTTTCATTGATAGTTTGTACAAATTGTACACCTGAACAGATATATTTTGTACGCTTAAAAAAACCACACTGATTAGTATATATTTGATTATCAGGTATTTTTGAAAGTGATGATATCACTGTTATTGTGTCTGAAATGGAAAAAGCAAGCAACTACTCCCAAAAGGTATGAATGGATATATCTTTTTAAGTTATGTTTCTCTACAGAAAAAATTTAACCAGTGTTTGTTCAGCTGACAGTGCAGAAGACTAGACAAAATTAAAATCCTTAAAAAAAGAATGCTCTACAGTGTGAGCATAGTCACCACAGAGTAAATGTGAACAAGAAAGCAGTTGTACAGTAGCACTGCAGTAACTGTTGTTGGTGTGGCCATGATTCCTTATCAAATACAGGGAATTTACAGTTGAAATTATTCTCCTTTTTGCTGCCGATTCTGTGATGAATTATTCTCAGATAGAAATAATTTTCCATTATAATTTATATATATAATTATGTAAA